CACTAAATAATGCTTTGGTGTATGGCTTGCTCAAGATACATTAATGCTTCTGATCTAGGAGGTGTCTTCTACATTTCTGTGTAGAGACCCATCGTGCACAGAAGATACTGACAGTAGGCAATTAGCCCTAATGATACTTCTTTATTGGGAGAGCATCTGTTCGTTCTGTGGTGACAACAGCAGGAGATATTTTTGTCAAGTGCTTATACCATGATTCAGGCTGTTTCATAGACTAGTAACTTAGATACTTTTAGTATCTAAAAGGAAAATTGCATGCTGCCATAGTCTTTTCACCCATAAATCTTAATGTAATCTGTCATTTCTCTGATTTAATATGACAGGCATGTTATTGAAATGACAGCCATGAGATCAGATTCTTTCCACGTCTTGCAGAAAATAAGCTGTGAATTTTGGTCCAATGAATTCTTAGTCTTTTTGCAGTCAGATGGGACTACACACTCTTTTCCATCTTACTTTTTTCCTCCCTCTGTGGTTCCAGAAAATAAACTGAGCAGTCTGATCCAGCAGTCCTAGATAAACCTAGACTTTTTGAAAAAATACACACTGAAATTAGCTCAGAATTTCTTTTTAGTCTATTTCCTTTATTGCAGTCATTACTGAAAGAATGCCACTCAGGTAAGCAGCAGTTAATGTAATTTTGTTAGGGACAAAACTTCTTAGCTGTCAGAAGAAATTATCTGTTATTTTTAGGCATCCTCTCTTCTGACTATATTCTTGTCTTGATTATATTTAAATACAAAACCTTTGTATTAAAAGCAAATGACTTGTTGCCTTAAAAAACAAATGCCGATATTTTGTAATTGTAGTGCACACGATATTTAATTCCAAAAAATATTTCTTAGACTGAGTTTTCTAATAGCAGTGGTTAGAAGAGAACTTGCACCAGTTCTTCAAGTATTGAGAATATGTTTTAGTCCAGTGCTATAGATTTTTGGCTAAATCTATTTTCTTTTGAAATCTTTAGCATTTAGAGTTGATTTCTTTCAGTGGGCCTTCAAGGATCCTGCTTTTAAGTCTTCTTGACCTTTCCTTGGAAAGGGAGATATATGTGTATCTACCAGGTACCTCAGTCTTAGAGACTTAGAAAATGATTCAGAGAAACTATTAACTACACTGAGAGTTGAGGGAGACTGGTTTCTTCTCTCAGCCACTAACCTAGAAGCTTGAAGTGAGCCAAGGAATAAGCATTTTGCACCCCTGCTTCCTTCCATAGGCCCATTTTTATCTGACGATTCCATTATTTATGTCTTTAGTCTATTATTTGTTCCTCTATTGCATTATTCATTAGAACTGAGAGAACAAAGCACATCTGCAGTTTATGCAGATACCATTGTCATACTAGAGCACTTCAAGCTGGTGCATGTATTCTTTGTGTATTGCAATATTTGATGGCAAGAGGAAAAGAAATACTGTCAGGGAATATACAAACAGTATGTGTAATGCATTCATGTTTATCTGTATGACACTTCATTAAATTCTCATTGTTGATATAGGAACCAGCAACACTATCTCTAGTTTTAGTTCATATTCATTAGAGAAATTGACAGAAAAAACTTAATGTGGATGTTCAAGTGATGGAAAATGGTAATATTGGGAAACAGGAAAAATTAATTTATGCTTACATAGTCACTGATGATGATTTAAACAGGTGTATTGTTTTTCTTTTCCCATAGAAGGGAAAAATACAACATTTAGTTGCCTATAAATATTTACTTCGCTGTTCTACAGAACAAGCAATTCATGGTGCTTAAAGAGGCCTCTCTAACAATACAGCATTCTTTTCTTGAGCAATCATTAAGAGCAAATTTGGATACAGCAGCCCATTTTAAAGTCTGTGGCAGTGAGTTGTTTGAGATTTATTGCTTTCAGGAGTAAACAAGAAAGAAAATGTTCGATGTTCTCATTTAGTATTGAACATTTATGTAAAGTAAGTAATATTTACAATGACAGCAGACTTCAGAAAACATTTCTCAGAGAAGCAGAGAGTCACCAGAAGCTCATTGTTTTAATTAGCATATATTTAATATTTCTGCTAGGTTAACTCTAAGGTTTATATATGACAATGGTGGTAACTGCTGTCAGTTAAACATTTGTGCTTGAGATTATTAAGATCTCATGGACCTCCAGAATAATCAATGTCATCCCCTCTTCACAAAAAGAATCAAAAAGTGATGATGGATATTATTTCTGAATGTTTTTTCAAATATTTGAGAACAAAAATTTTGTTATTTCTTGCTAAGTTTTTACTCCTAAGACAAACTCTTTGTGGAGTCACAGGTCAGAATTTACTTTGTATTACACTGGGTAGAGTTGGACATTTCTGCTTGAGACTTGCAAGAAGTGCATCTCGGTTAGGAGTAATTTCTTTAGAAAAATGAGCTGGATCTAAAATTTGTTTTGTCTTGAAGAAACTAAGAATCAGCTCCTGAGTGCCTTGATCACTGGGCTGTGTAGTGATGGTCCTGCTCCTTGTTGTCTGGCCCAGAACAACCAGGTTCTTTTTTACAGAACATCATCATTTCAAGGCATGGTGTACTCTGATTCAGGAGGAGTCTGTGTTCATGTGGTTGTGATAGTCTGTTCAGTTGTAGTTCTAATTTTTTAACTGCTTCAGGCAAAATAGGGTATTGCACTCAATTGCCCCCTTTCCTGTGGGAGCACTGCATCAACTGCATCGTTGTCTGTGCTTTCAGAAGTAATTATGGCAGTGTTTTGGAGATCTGTGTTCATAGCTGAGTTCTGTTATTCCTCTGTTACCTGTGCTCAGAACTCACAAGGGGACCTAATATAGGCTGTGCAAACCCAGGTTGTGGAATTCAGGGAAGCCTGCTATGAGTACAGCAGCTAAAGCTGCTGGATTCCAGCATTACCAGAAGCAAAATGTCAGGCAGACACTGAAGACTTCAGTATGACAAGGCAGACAAGTGTGGACTGTGGGAAGTCAAGCAGGTATTGTCTGAATGTCACATGGATTGAAGTTCCTAATATTCACCTAATTCCTTAACTTTATCTGTGACTGAATGTTTTAGATGTCACTTGTGGACAAGGGCATTAATTAAGCTGAGATATCCTGAAGTCTTGGTTTGAAACATTTACTACTTCTGAATAAGCTGCTGATTAAGAAAAAACAATTCTGACAACCAGTTAACTCTCTGCAATATTATTTATATTTCTTTTGTTGTGGGAAATGAGGACCAGATTACAGACCTTGTCTTCTCACTCAGACTGTTTCAACAGACACTCTTTATTTTCATCCTGAGCTGGCTGTTTCAGATTTTCAGATAAATCCAACATCTTTAAGGTTACTATCCTGCTCGCTAGATAAAACTAGTAGTAGGATTGTGTTGAGATTGAATCAGTGGAATTGGAGGAAGACTGTCAAGTGAGATACTACTAGCAGCTCACACCATACCAATCCCATATGCATTTTCAGTGTTAATGTCTTTAGTCTGAGCAGTGGAAGTAGGAAAAGAAGTCAAATGGGACAGACACTGCAGTGGATGAGTCTCTAAGTGGTTAGATGACGTGATGCTTAGCAGTGTCAGAAAAGACACATACAACTTCATAATTGCAGTTTTCTTGGCTTCTGCTGTCTATTGAGGGTCTGCAGTGTCTAGTAACCAGGGGTTTCAGGAACAGTTGATAATTCTGTTATCAGCAAGGAAAATTTCCTTCCAAATAGTCTTTGTGCCATGCTGGAACAAGAGGCATTGTAGAATGTGATGGAAAATTATTCTGCGAATCCTACTTATGCCTACAGTCTTTACATTCAAAGCAGTAAATGGGACTGAGATTGTGGGGTGGTACAAATCCAGTCTCTGTGCAGCAATTCCTTAAGAAATAGTTCAACTTTGGTTTGTGCCAGTCTGTCTGGTGACCTGCTCTTTACAGAAAGGCACGTCCAGCAGAGCCAGCCAAAGGGATAACCCACAGAGACTGTCATTTACAAGACTAATATCATTTATGTTATAGACTTCAGTCTCTTGAGCTTCTTTGGGGAGAGGCTGTCAGGGTAATGGATGCCTTTACTCTTGTGTCCTGACACAACCAACTTTGATGTGATTGATCTTCCTGACAAAGAGGATAAACTATTAGTCATCCTTTGGGAAGACCCTGTTTGGAATGAATAAACTTATCATCCAGTTTCACATTATCACAGGGAAGATTTTATTTATTGGTCTATTTTAAATAAAGGGGCATTGACTTTATAACCATTTCCATCTTCTATTAAATATTAATTTGGAATTTTTTCTTTCTGTTTAAAAATGATGACATTTCTCCAGTATATGTAATCATAATATTAATGGAGTTAGGTTTAAAAAATATAAAATGCATGTTTAGGCTTTTGCAAGGGTTTGAATTTTTGTATTTTGTGCAGCTCAGTTGAATTCAGAAAATTGTTTTTCTCTGTTCTTTTGTATTCTACTCATAGAAAAGAAAATGTGATTTGCAAACTGTAGAGAATACTGTGTTAAGTTATAATTATATAAAGTACTTAAAAAAATCAGACATCATTACTGTGCATAATAAGTCTTCTATTGTCACTTAAAGTTTATAATATTATGTTGATTCTTTAATAAAAGAAACAAGAACATGAAGCTCTTGAATAATTAGTAATGGATTATTTTAAATTATAAAATGATCTGTATTTAGCCTTATTCCTTAAATTTATTATGTATTTTACATTTTTTCAAATTAAATGCCTGTCCAACATCCAGTTCATCAGAAATGTTTAGAAATTTCAGTGGAACTATAAGTCTGTGGATATTGAGTAAAGTTTAATAAATTATATGGATTGCTGTAGATAGTCCACCAGAAAGAAAATTTACATACAACTTGTCTTTAAGAATCTAGTAGCCATCCATATACAGCGTATATTTAAATCATGTAGCTGTGTAATAGGGAGGGAGGACTGCTATTGAAAACATAGGAATTACTGATGGTCCCCAGCATGATAAAACTGCATTTTTGTTTTTCAGGTCTTAGGAACAGATGAGGATACTATGGGGGATGGTTGCTCTCAGAAACTGGCTTCTGCCAAGTTCCTTCGACTGTTGCTCCTGATACTGATTCCATGCATCTGTGCCCTTATCCTTTTGCTGGTGATCCTGCTTACCTTTGTAGGTGAGTGCTTTTTTAATTAGGGAGACACTTTTTAAATTAAAGAGACTAAAACTAAGACAGCGTTCTTATGTGCTAATATAACTGTGGACATCAGACATATATCTTAGCACACCTACCCAAAAACCTAATCTACCTAGTGACTGTTTGTTGCAGAGAAATAAATCTGCTATTTACATTTGTATTCTTAAAATAGATTTAAAGTATCAATGAGGAAACCTTTTCTGGTTTTTTCAAGGTAGAGTTTTGAAGAACACGTTATCTTGAACATGTAGATAGTTTTCAGCAGCCATTTTACAAGTACAAAAGATACTTTTGTTATCATTTTAGATCACTGTCAGTGGAATGGAATATTTATCCAGTTATGTCACACATTCATATACAAACTTGATCTTTATTTTCAGGTGAAATTTAGTTTATAAATAGCCACAAATTTTTCTGAACAGCATACAAAATATTACAGTTTAACTAAGGAAAATTTTGTTAATTTCTTCTACATACAAAATATGTATCAATGCAGAATCCCAAATATGTTTTGTGGAAACTGGTTCAAGGTATTCATAGATTTCATAATGGCTTAGCCTGTTAAGTAATTTTGTGTGTATGCTTTTCATAATTAAAAAGTGCTAATTTATTAGCATAAATTTTTAAAGAAGTCTTCCCTTTGTTACTGTAGAAAAGCTGACATATTAAATTGCTTCAAGTACAAAATAAAAAACACAATAAATGAAAAAAATAATATAAAATAGGTTCAAGCATTTTTTTTCAGGAAAAAAAAGTTTAAAAAATTTGCTTTCAGTGGTGTTTTTGGTTTTTTTCATTTTTCTTTTTGTTAGTGAGAATATTTTCTAATTGAACTTCCTTAGGTACTTCAGAAGCATGTCTGAAATAAGTGGGGTAATGTATCCAGTATCCAGATACACAGATAAAAATTGTATTTTCCTATTCTAAACACTCCAATTTTAATACACATCAAACAGTCAAACAGCAAGCGTAGGAAGAAACTAAAGATGTTTCAAAAAGCACTGTCAAAATCAGGACAATTTAAATCTGTTTTCTCAATTCAGTCTGTAAAGGATATGGAACACGACATTGTAGGCCTGTTCTTTTCATTTAGTTTAAGTTCAGGAAGTAAGAAAACCCACAAAGCTAGTGAATGTTATGATTGACAGGGTAAGTCTTGGGTTGTATCTCTGAACTAAGAACAATCTGAAATGGATTAAGATCACGTAAGTCTTGCAATTATGAAATATGAAGCCGTTAAATATGATTTCCGTATATTTAGCATTCCATTTGTATCTTTCATATCCTCTGCCCTATATTTTCATTCTTTGGTGAGAAAGCTGATAAAAAGGCAGGTGTATTTACGTCAGTTCTACTCAATCTCTTCCTCAGGCATGTATTGACCTGTGAATAAAATGTATGAAATCCTCTGGGAAATGGGGCCTGTTCTGATCCTACTTACATCGTGACTGTCTCCTCTTAAGTCAACCTTATTACTGCAGAGTAACGAATAAGGCTTGGTGTTATAACCCAAGTCTGAAACTGGCAAAGGTCTCTTCAGAAGCAGCTTTTGAATTAACATTTTATAATTTACTATTCTTCTCAGCAGCTTTCATACTCAATGCATTGATAGCCTAAAAGCAAATATATTTGATGACCAGAATTAGATGAAGTAATGCTGTGGACATTTAAAGTGTGTGTAAGAGAATATAGTCTGTTATAGTAACTAACAATACACTATATCCAAAATAGTACTTCATGTTCATTTCAGGTCAATAATAACTGAATTCTAATACTGGTATGAAATCTTACTGTGTAAGAAATAAGTTTATAGTATTGAGTGGCTGATAGAAATTATTTGATGGGAGGGAGGGTAAGGAAGGAAGGAAGGAAGGAAGGAAGGAAGGAAAAGAAAAATTAAATTACTGCAGCTTAACTGACATGCGATAGTTTAGTATACTATGGGACCTCCATAGGATCAATAGTGTGCCCATTTCTCCAGAGTGCAGAGCCATGGGTACAGACCCTGTAGGAGAAATCTCAGTTTATATGTGCTGGCCAGCTGTACTAGTGAACCAGTGCTTTTTTTTCCTTTGCAACTGCCTCATCACTTACCCATACTTTGTTAGGCAGCTTTGCTCTGTTTCATTAGCTTTTAAACAGACTTGGTCTCTTTGAGCTTTCCTGCTCTGAAGAGCTAGAAATCTTCCACAGTTTACTCTGCCAGAATCTCAATTTACTAGCTTGAACAGTGTGACTATTTCTTAAATCTCTTAACTGTCCATTTTTAAGTAAACTGTCAATTTTTTAAAACGTGTCCATATTTAAGTAAAACATTAATTCCCCAAAGTGAACAGCAGCTGGAAATGATCATTAAAACTGCTGGAAAATGTTGCTTTGAAATGAATGTGTCTGGTCCCAGTAGCTCTGTTTTGTACCAAGCACAATGAAGGCCAGCATACTGTATGTTTCTGTCATCTGGACATGCCCAGCTGTAGCTGGAGACACAAATTGAAAATGGTTACATCTGTTTCTCAGCTAATTAACTATCTGGCTTATGATTTACCATCTACAGCTCTGTATGAACCCAAGTCTGAAGAATAGTCGGATATAGTGTGCCTGTATACATGAATAAAATGCATGTTCTCTATGTGCTGTATGTCTGTTAGCAAACATTTATAGAGAGTAATTAATTTCTCTTCACTGAAGAGATTAAGAAAGAACTGATTGTTTTAAAGCATCACTCTGTTTTCTTAGGTATCTTGAAATTTAAATATAGATGCTATAAAAACATATCCAGTAAGCTTAATTTAAGACTTAAGATATACAATAGTGTTTTTAGGGGAAGGGTGGGGGGAAGGATGAAAATTAAAGTGAATGGGAGCCCAGCACAGAGAGTGGATTCTGCAGCCTGGAATAAAGTGCCTAAATTCTCTACGGTGCGCTGGTAAAAGGACAGGATAGGAGGAGAATGTGGGAGAAGAAAGAGGTGATTCAGGAAGGTGACCTAAAACTCTTACAAACTGAGTGGAAACGGAATTGCCATGTAAAGCTAGCAAGTGGGGAATGCCGGGGTGTAGCAGGCCCAGGGCCTGCAAGGCCTCCTTGGAGGTCAGAAGCCTGAGCGGGGGCCTACACCTGCCTCCCTCAAGGGTGTATGTACCTGAGCCAGGCTGATGTTATTTTGGAGAGAAAAATTGTTAAAAATAATTTTAATGCTGCTCGTTGTCAGTGGAGATGATACAATTAGGAAGTCCTTTTGTGTTGAAGAGGTTTGTTGTGTGGTCCCCCTGTTAAGAGGAGTTGGTATCACTAGGAAACTGTAAAAATAGAACAAAAAATGCTGTTGTTGGGAAGATGGGTTGAAGAAGCAAACAAGCATTTGGGAATCTCAGTGAAAGAAGTAAATGACCTCATGGCAGTGATAGACATAGTTATTATTTGTTGTTCCAGAAAAATAATGAAATAATCTGAGTGAGAAGAGGATAGAATCCAGTGGGTAGCCTCAATATTTTGTTTCACTGTATTTATTTGACCACGTGTCATGGTTTGACCAGGAAGTGAGGTTTTGGGAAAGTTATGGTCAAACCAATCAGTGGCCAGATTATAAACTGGCACCTGGTGTGGCCACTGGGGACTTGGATACAAGGGTATTAGGTTGAGAATTGATGCATTAGAGGGGATTTGAATGTTAGAGGACTGGGGGGAGGAAGAGTGTTTTGAAAGTGTTCTATTGTGGATTGTTGTGTGTGTGGTTTTTTCCCTTCCTTTTGTGTCTGTGTAGATTAATAAAGTGTTGTTTTTTTCCTCCATTCCCAAGTTGGAGCCTGCTTTGTTCTGTTCCCGGGTCACATCTCACAGTAACCATTTTGGGAAATACACCTTTCATGGGGGCACTGGCACTGTGCCAGAGTCAATCCATGACAACACGGTATTAAACCAAAGGGGGTTTTCAAACATTTTTCGAAGAGTTTAACTGTCTTGTAATGTATTGCCTCTTATTCTGCTGAGTGATATATAAAGAGCTAATAATTTTAACTTTAATTTAAAATCAGTATTAATAGCTCTTTGGGAATAATGTTTTACAGCCTTTTTCTATTTTTATGCTGGGTGGAAGAGATGAGTCTAAGGAGGAGGAGAGACAATGTGAAAAAATACCTTAAGCTATTCTTGAATTATGGAAAAATACTATGCACTTTCCCAAAGGAGTTCAAAAAGCTTATTTTAACTTTTTGCAAACTGCAAAAAAAAAAAAAAAAAAAAAAGGTAAAGTTTGAAACTTGAAACAAAGTAGGCTTCTGAATTCTAGACATTCAGTGCTTTGTTTGAACACAAATATCTGGCATCCAAATAAAGCCACATTTTAGTGAGCACAATTTCTGAGCACAGCCACTCACTCTTCCTTAGACTTTAGCAAATCATATTAATATTAGTCCCTGTTTGTGAAAATGCACTTAGTGTTTGGTTTGACCAGAGGACTCAAACAAAACAAATGCTGCTTAAATAATTTGCAGGTGGGAGATTTTTAGTTGCTTCTGTAAAATACACACAGTAAATTCCTCTAAACCTCAATGATATATGAACATGTGCTGGTGGAAAACCAGAAACCCTAACATTTATATATATATGTGTGTGTATAAAGTTCCCCTGGGTCTGTCCAGTAGAAGTCAGACATAAAGATTTACTCACAGTTAGTGACACTGGAGCCAAAACAATCCAGCCTGGATAAATGATGATATGATAAATCTCAAATGTTAACTGTTTAATTGAAATTCACTATATTTCAGAAATTTCACCAGTTTTTCTCGCTGTTTGCATTTGCTGTAGTTAAAGGTTACTCAGTAAAAAAGAAAATGCTGACAATGCCCCTTCTCAGCTATTCCAGTTCTCTTTTCTCCCTTAACTATAAAGCTTTCCAACCCAAAGTCACTTCACTTGGATTCTTCTGGCATTTTTTAGTTACTTGTAGCTGTGGTTAATAAACATTTTTGCCTGCCCAGTTCTTGAATTTCAGACCAGTGAACTGATTTATTCTAGCAGCAGAGTGCATGGAGAAGTGAGAAGAGGAATTCAATAATGGGAATGGGCTCAGGATACCCTCTTGGGCTCTGTGTGGTGCCTGGAGCTGGCAGAGGGGTGGGTTTGTCTAGGGACAGAGCCTGGGGCAGTGTGGGGTGAACAAGGCCTAACTGAGAGGTGACGGTGCAACCAGCCATTTTGCTAAACGCAATAACCAAAATGAAAATTAAGTCTGGGAGAGATGGTGGTGGGTGTTTTGTGGACTTATTATTTGTGAAGTCATAGAACCATAGAAAGATCATCTAATTCCAGCTCCCCTGCCATTTGGGGTTCATCTGTACGAAACAGCTAATGAAGGGTCAAGTGAATATGAAGAAAAGTTACTAAAATTATCAGTTGTTGCCAAGGTACTTGGTACATTTGGAAGACTTTATGTTTTGATCTTCCTTTTAATTTTTTTTTAAATCAAGTCTAGATGAACTGTGTTTATTATGATTGTTCGGCTCTTTTACCCCCCAGTAGAAAAAATCACTTTTGCTATTTACCAAAAATTTCTTATATTGTGATACAGAGTGGTACTTCTCTTCTAGCATTAAATATGACTCTAATACATTTGGTTAAAGAATTTGAGATAACATTTGTTGTTTTTATTATAGATAAATAAGTTACATGTTCTACACATGTTTAAGATGTCTTCTTTATTATTTGGATTACTAGGTTAAAGATCAGTTATCTTACTATGTAGTTTAAATTCCTGATGCTTGTGGGATACATCTACTTACTGGTTTGATTTGTGAATTATAATTACTTGCAACTATTGAACACATACAACTAAGAAAAATCTGTTTTTGTCTGTAATACAATAAATGATCAAAACATAAAGCCAGCAAGTGACTAAAATTTTAGACAATAACTGTATATTTAAAATCCAGTATCAGAGAAGAATGACAAATAACTCAGGGGCCCATATTTAGCAGTGGTAGTTAAATTACATAATCTTACATAGAGAAAACAGTACCTCTCATCATTTTACAAATTAGTGAATATGGAATATGTTAAAAATTTATTGATTCCCTTAAAGCTTCAGAATTGGATTTCTGAAGATGGTGGTACTATGAAAACAAGAGATGATGCAATTTAAAAGGATAAAAAAATAGTACTGTCCATCTTGTTAACATAATGATAGAATGAATGCATGTTGAAGCTCCTTGAAATTGCACTCTGTAATTTTAAACATGTAAGTATTTGGTGATATACTATTAATACGATTAAAATATTTTAAGCTCAAGGAAGCATTTGTTTCTCTATTTATCCTACAGCAACCATGTTTTATGTGTCCTGTTATTTTGTTGCCAGATAGAATTCTTAAATTTGTCTTTAATTTTAATTTTGATATTAAAATACTTTTAAAATCTGTGCCATTATATTTAGTATTAACTTTCCAGGACAAATTGGTAACACTCTTCCAGGTGATGGTAATTTTGGTGCTTTTTTTTTCTTTATTGCAGGAGTGTTAGAAAAAACATGCTTTTATTCAAATGGAAGTGAGAGACTCACAGTTAATGGTGACTTTGAAATGTCTCCTGATCTTTTGCCAAATATGGTTGAAAATAGTTCTGAGACTGATTCCACAGTGGATCTCAGCACACAGCCCTCTTCTTGGACCACCACACCTTTATCCCACATTGACCAAATGAACAAGAACTCAAATATATTTAGAGAGTCTTTCCAAGAAAATTCCTTTGGTCCCCCAACTCAAGACACAGTGCTCAGTCATCAGCCTGCCTCTGAAACTGCTTTGGCAGAGGGCTCTGAAGACAACACCCGGCTGTTTGCCACTGCAGAAGAGATGACATTGTGGCCTACAGATGCTTCTTTTAACAACACAGAGAGGATGACCACTCTGCCAATATTAAGTCCTACTCATCCGTCTATGTCACAAAAAATGGATCAGAAAAAAAGTAAGTTTTTATTTTATTTGGCTCCATGGTTTTGACCCAAAAACTACAGAGCATACTATTGGCATGCTCCCCAATGTGTTTCCGTGAGGTCTAAGGAACGTGTGTCCCTTTCGATAATTTATTTTGTTGTGTACATTCCATCTTGCAATCAACTTGTTTCTTATTAGAACATTTGTTCAACCTGTTAAGGAAGATGCTGTAAATTCTTTCTATTCTTACAATAGATTCTTCATTTGGTGATAATCAGGCTTACCAAGGCTAGACATGAGTTACTGCACTTACTAAGTCTGTAGATTGTATATTCTGTGTTTCTTTAAAACTATGTATGTGGCAAGTATATTCCTGATCTTGTCACATAATTGCAGTTGCAACTTTTTCTGTCTTAATGGATAAATTCTTCCCTAATTGAAGCAGTTTTTCTGTGTAGCAATGACGTTCCATTGGCATTTTTGAGAGAGAGTAACAATTAACTGGGATCAGGACTTTTTTTTTTTTTTCCACTATGAAGGTAGGTGCCTTTTTTTAATGTCATAGTAAATGTTATTGATTCATTGTGTTAGTGGTAGTGAAGAATTCCCTGATACTGCTTTGCTAATTGCTGAAACACAGGGGTACCACTTTGAAATGAATCTGTTTCTCTAGAGCTGCTTATCATTCCTTTTTTCTTAATTCTACCAGAGCACAGAGCAAAATTTATTCATAAGGTCATAGAGAAAAGGTAATGTAAATCACTGATTTGTCAGTATTTTCTTCTCTCCCCTAGGCTATAGTGACTTCATAAGCCATTGCAGACTTACAGGCTTTTTGCAGGTTCTATTTGCTAAGTGATTTTTCTTATGTAGATTTGTCTCTTTTTCTCCCCCTGCACTCCAGACTCAGAATAAATATATATAAATGGACACTTGAATCCTATTAGTGGTTCATTTATTTACTTCTTTTGGCAACTTGGCAAATTATCACTGTGCCAAGGAACAGCAAAAAAGCGTAATATACTACACTACAAATATTTTCATAATCATATTTGAGATACCTGAAATTCTAGGAAATATAGATGAAACAGTGTAAAGCCCTTTTGCCTTTTCTTACCATGTTGGAATGGAGTCATTTGAGATGCACACATATGTAATATGCGCGTGTGTGTGTGTATAGCACATGATATTTTTCCCTACTACAGTGTTAATGCAGGGACAGCACTACAGTGACTCAGGACAGCCTTAGGTCTGGATTTCTAATCTTTTTGGTATTATACAGAGAGGCACTTCTAGCACTTTCCAAGTATGTGTTCTATTCTGGTAAGTGCAGTTCATTCCAACAGCTGTATGACTGCGTGTATATTCAGCAGGCATGACTACTTGGAATTCTATTGTGGCGTAGTATTTTCTGTGTAAAGAGAAGAGGACAAAAGGTTTTCAAAAACAAATTTGAAAACAGATTTCTTAAAAAAAACCCCAACACAACAACAAAAAAATCCCATCCCAAATTGAGATAACAAAAAACAAAACCTGGAGATAGTACATTACTAATCAATAACCTCGCAGTCTTTGATCCCACTTTCAAGTGTTTTGCTTATCCATATTCATGAGGACATTTTCTTAATTCTGTGTGTAGATTAAAAATAAAAAAAAAAATTAAGTATCCAGAAGAATTTGATCTCATAACTGTTTGTTCCGATAGCTTTGCAAGGCATGGAGAACTAGAAGGCGGGGGCTTTCTAGCACTGTCTTCTACCCACTTCCTTTCTTGTCCTGGCCTTTGCAAATTAACTCCTTATACTCACCTTTAGTCTCTTGAATCTCTTTTTTTCCACTACGCTTGCTTCATGGAGAGATCCCTAAGGTAACACAGAACATGGTCTGATGTTTACAGGAAATTGTTACGTATTCTGATGTGGAGGACAATGAGATATAACTGGAAGATGAGATACAAATAAGTTTTGGAGCAGTAAAACTGGAACAGTCTGTTGGAGTAAAAATTTTTTTTTTGGGACACATAAAACTTAAAGAACACATCAGATTAGTGGTAGTCGATCAAATTATCTCTCTTGATTAGTGTCTGAATCCAGCTGTGAATATTAGCACATGCTTGAAGAAGAATAAACTGGGGCTGGCTTGCTGAGACACCTGAATGCTGTGTGGTAGCAGATTCCAGTGATCTGCAGTGAGTCCTGGTGAATGTTCATTTGTCCTCCCATGAATTGATGTAATCACTTTTTGAACCCATGTAAAGTGGAGGTTTGAGTTTTTAAGCGTATCTTGTAAGGAAATTAACCTCTAAATGAAGTGTCAGGCTGATGTTCTATCATCATCAATGCACACTAGCAGATCATCCGTCAGTAGAAGTTTCATCTGGTTCAAATGTGGGGAGGTGAATGCATTTCTGTTCATTTAGTAAGCATGTGTAACTTTATGCTGATTCTATGCAGTACAATAAAAGATAAATGATATGTCATATGACACAGAGACTGCCAGTTCAAAGCCAACCAGACAAAATTGTGTGAACACAATTTTGGACCAGCATTCATATGGCTGTTAACTTTTTGGTCTCTTGCTAGTATTCCTAGTGCTGGATTTGCTTTACTGGTGGACCACAGCTTCAGTAAAAGACATTAATAAGAGAAATTACAAATATTGTGACCATATGGTATTCAGTTAAGACTTTAAACTAACATAAGTAAGACGTTGCTGAGTTACTAACTGGAGGGGAATGAAATTTGGCACATATGACATTAATTATTTAAGAAGTTCTTGAAGAAAAAGGAAATTCTTTGGCAGAAATTCTAGCAAAGAATATATTAGTGAGTAAATAGGAATGAATGATACAATAAAGAAGAGATGAAGTAGTTTATTTCCATTTTACAAGGGGAAGCAATGCCTCACAAATTTCTTTGTGAAATTTCTTTGAAGGAGACAGTGAAAATGCTGGTTAATACAACATACTTGGCTTTTCAAAATGCTGTTAACAAGAGTCTTCACCAAGAAGTCTTACAGACCACTTCTCCCAGACTATGTGTTTGTTAAAAGACAGAAGGAAAAATAAGAATGAGTGGCTAGGCTCCAGAGTGAAGAAGGCTGCTGGTGGAATCTTACAGACAGACAGTGTTTTCTGATCAGGGAAAACAGAAAATAGTCAAGTAATAACATTTCTGCTAATGCAGATTTGGCTCCCTAAAATGAATAGCTGAGAATCACATAAAGGCTTCATAGTGGAAACAGTGACTGATGAAATGTTTGAATGGCTGTGCCAATAGATGCGAAAGAATGCTGGAGAGTGGGAAACAATGCGAGCTCTATCAAATACATTGCTGGACTTTCAGCTAGTGTTGCCACCAAAATAAGGACCTGATGGTTTTCTGCAGTCAGCATTCTCTCTCCATGAGAATCCTCATCATGAAGTCTACAAAGAACAAAATGGAAAATACTGCTATATCAGTGTGTAACTTAAGAAAAATAACAGTTGAATTGGAAAAGGCAAATAGCAGGCAACCACACCAGTAGAGACATGGAAAGACTTAGATGTGGGGAGGCACTAAATAGAGGGAAGACACTGTTTTCCTTCTGGAAAACAGCAGCTGGTTTATGAGTAAATTGTTGTGGTGGATAGTCAGACTGTTTTGAGTGTCTAGGTAAAATAGAACAGTTACTCAGTGTTTTTCATTATATGAGGAGTTGCTTTTTTTTTTTTTTTTTTTTTTTTTTTTTTTGCCTATCAGTCAGTAAGCTAAAAAAAAGGAGACCTCATGGAACTTGCTGCCACAGGATGATGGGAAAACCACAAAGTGTGGAAATGCTTGGAGAACTTTGTGAGGGGTTGGTCTGTTGGGGCTTGTAGAAACAATAGTCCACTGGAAACTTCTGACTTCTGAAGGTTCAAGATTTTATGTTGCCAGAAGTTGTTGTTATAGGTGGCTGTTCCTTATAATTGCCCAATATTACTATAATTCTTCTTGAATATTTAATGGTGGCCCCTGCCAAAGGTCAGCATCTGAGTCAAATGTATCTTGTATTTCCTCTCTGTTGGGAAGCAAGTGAAGGAATATGTTTTTCCTGCTGAGGGATTTGAGTGTGTGTGACTTCATATCTAAGTGTTTTCTGGAGGCAGGGACCTTGGTCGTCAGTGAGGAGGATGGCTCACTGGAGAGTTTTCTGATAGCAGAAATAGGATCAGGATGGGAGTCAGGTGAATCGATAGGTTCAGTAGTGTTTATTCAGAGTTTAGAAGTGTATGCAGTAATGTCAATCAGTGCTTAACAGAAAAAAGACCACATTTTAAATAGTAACTATTAAAAAGAATAAAGCATGGTTTCCCAAGGAAATGGTAGTGCAATTTATTGCTATTTTTTTCTCTTTGAAATAAAAGCAGACTGTACTGAGGCAGTAAAGTGGGAGACTTGATTCAGATGAAGCACGATTCCCTGTTTTGTAATACTGATGATTTGGGGAGACAGGAAGAAGTAGAGAGAGCGAGGGTCGACTTTCTTCCTAGGAAAACATCCTGTAGATGAATGGAATATACACTGGGACAGGAAGTATTAGTATCTGATTTTATTTCTTCCACTCACTGATGTATTTGCATATGTATATTTTCTTTGTGCCAAGTCTCCCGTAGATCTCCCCGAGCAGATAGTCTAGTAGCGCCTCTGCCATTTCGCAAAAGCAGTTTCAGCCGAGAACTATAAGGGTGGCCCGGTCCTAACGTGAAAAGTAACGTGGCCAGGCTTGATCCTCAGCCATGCCCGTCCGCGGGGGCATCCCCGCGGCCCGGCCGGCGGTGATGGGCGGTGAGAGGCGTTGAGGGACGGTGCGGGGCGGTGAGGGCCCAGCGCGTCCCTCAGCACGGCCCGGCTGCCGCTGCGGGGCCCGGCCGCGCTCCTGCCCCGCGCCGACGCCAGAGGGCGCCGCGAACGCGAGTCCCGCGGCCGGAGCGGGGCAGGAGCGGGGCGGGAGCGGAGCCGGAGAGGGGCCCGGAACGGGGCAGAAGTGGGGCTTGCAACGAGGCTGGAG